GGTCACATGTGGACTGATACTCACATATGTTCAGTTTTGTTCACATGTAGACAGATATTCACATATGTACAGTGATGGTCACATGTCGACTGCTACTCACATATGTACAGTGATGGTCACATGTAGACTGATACTCACATATGTACAGTGATGGTCTCATGTAGACTGATGCTCACATATGTACAGTGATGGTCACATGTAGACAGGTACTCACATATGTACAGTGATGCTCATATGTAGACAGATACTCACATATGTACAGTGATGCTCACATCAAGACAGATACTCACATGTGTACAGTTATGCTCCCATATAGACTTGATACTCACATATGTACAGTGATGGTCACATCAAGACAGATACTCACATATGTACAGTGATGGTCACATGTAGACAGATACTCACATATGTACAGTGATGGTCACATGTAGACAGATACTTACATATGTACAGTGATGGTCACATGTAGACTTGATACTCACATATGTACAGTGATGGTCACATCAAAACAGATACTCACATATGTACAGTGATGCTCCAATATAGACTTGATACTCACATATGTACAGTGATGGTCACATCAAGACAGATACTCACATATGTACACTGATGCTCCCATAAAGACTTGATACTCACATATGTACAGTGATGGTCACATCAAGACAGATACTCACATATGTACAGTGATGGTCACATGTAGACTTGATACTCACATATGTACAGTGACGGTCACATCAAGACAGATACTCACATATGTACATTGATGCTCCCATATAGACTTGATGCTCACATATGTACAGTGATGATCACATCAAGACAGATACTGACATATGTACAGTGATGGTCACATGTAGACAGATACTCACATATGTACAGTTATGCTCCCATATAGACTTGATACTCACATATGTACAGTGATGGTCACATGTAGACAGATACTCACATATGTACAGTTATGCTCCCATATAGACTTGATACTCGCATATGTACAGTGATGGTCACATCAAGACAGATACTCACATATGTACAGCGATGGTCACATGCAGACAGATACTCACATATGTACAGTGATGATCACATCAAGACAGATACTCACATATGTACAGTGATGGTCACATGCAGACAGATACTCACATATGTACAGTGATGATCACATCAAGACAGATACTCGAATATGTACAGTGATGGTCACACGTAGACAGATACTTACATTATGTACAGTGATGGTCACATGTAGACTGATACTCACATATGTACAGTGATGGTCACATCAAAACAGATACTCACATATGTACAGTGATGCTCCAATATAGACTTGATACTCACATATGTACAGTGATGGTCGAAACCAAGACAGATACTCACATATGTACAGTGATGCTCCCATATAGACTTGATGCTCACATATGTACAGTGATTGTCACATCAAGACAGATACTCACATATGTACAGTTATGCTCCCATATAGACTTGATACTCACATATGTACAGTGATGATCACATCAAGGCAGATACTCACATATGTACAGTGATTGTCACATGTAGACAGATACTCACATATGTACAGCGATGGTCACATGTAGACTTGATACCCACATATGTACAGTGATGGTCACATCAAGACAGATACTCACATATGTACAGTGATGCTCCAATATAGACTTGATACTCACATATGTACAGTGATGGTCACATCAAGACAGATACTCACATATGTACAGTGATGGTCACATGTAGACTTGATACTCACATATGTACAGTGATGGTCACATCAAGACAGATACTCACATATGTACAGTGATGCTCCCATATAGACTTGATACTCACATATGTACAGTGATGATCACATCAAGACAGATACTCACATATGTACAGTGATGGTCACATGTAGACAGATACTCACATATGTACAGTTATGCCCCCTATAGAGACTTGATACTCACATATGTACAGTGATGGTCACATCAAGACAGATACTCACATATGTACAGTGATGCTCCCATATAGACTTGATACTCACATATGTACAGTGATGGTCACATCAAGACAGATACTCACATATGTACAGTGATGGTCACATGTAGACTTGATACTCACATATGTACAGTGATGGTCACATCTAGACAGATACTCACATATGTACAGCGATGGTCACATGTGGACTGATACTCACATATGTTCAGTTTTGTTCACATGTAGACAGATACTCACATATGTACAGTGATGGTCACATGTCGACTGATACATATGTACAGTGATGGTCACATGTGGACTGCTACTCACATATGTACAGTGATGGTCACATGTAGACTGATACTCACATATGTACAGCGATGGTCTCATGTAGACTGATACTCACATATGTACAGTGATGGTCACATGTAGACAGGTACTCACATATGTACAGTGATACTGACATGTGGACTGACACTCACATATGTACATTGATACGCACATATGGATTCTCAAAGTACACACATCTGTACAATTGTACTGACATTTTACTCATGAACAGACATATATCTTTACTGAGACACATACGACTATTGAAGCAGAGACATATCTACACTGATGAAGACACACATCTATACATAGACACATATACTCCAGCAGACACAAATATACTGCTGCAGACACACATATACTGCACCAGACACATATCTATACTACTGCAGACACAACTATACTGCAGTAGAAACATCTATACTGCTGCAGCCACATCTATACTGCTGCTGACACATCTATACTGCTGCAGACACATATATTAACTGCTGCAGACACAACTATACTGCACCAGACACATATCTATACTACTGCAGACACATCTATACTGCTGCAGACACATATATACTGCTGCAGGCACACATATATATACTGCTGCAGACACATATATATATATACTGCTGCAGACACTTCTATACTGCTGCAGACACATCTATACTACTGCAGACACATATCTATACTGAGACACATATACTACTGCAGAATCAACTATACTGCTTCACACACATATCTATACTGCTGCAGACACATACCTATACTACTGCAGACACATATCTATACTGCTGCAGATACATCTATACTGCTGCAGACACATATCTATCCTGCTGCAGACACATATATACTGCTGCAGACACATCTATACAGCTGCAGACATATATCTGTACTACTGCAGACACATATCTATACTACTGCAGACTCATCTATACTGCTGCAGACACATATCTATACTGCTGCAGACACATCCATACTGCTGGAGACATATATAAACTGCTGGAGACACAACTATACTGCACCAGACACATATCTTTACTACGGCAGACACAACTATACTGCTGCAGACACATCTATACTGCTGCAGACACATATATACTGGTGCAGGCACACATATATATACTGCTGCAGACACATATATATACACTGCTGCAGACACTTCTATACTGCTGTAGACACAACTATACTGCTGCAGACAAATGTATCCTGCTGCAGACATATCTATACTGCTGCAGACACATATATTTACTACTGCAGACACAACTATACTGCTGCAGACACAAATCTATACAGAGACACATATACTACTGCAGACTCAACTATACTGCTGCAGACACATCTATACTGCTGTAGACACATCTATACTGCCGCAGACACATATATAAAACGCTGCAGACACAACTATACTGCTCCAAACACATATCTGTACTACTGCAGACACATCTATACAGCTGAAGACACATATCTATACTACTGCAGACACATCTATACAGCTGCAGACACATCTATCCTGCTGCAGACACATCTATACAGTTGAAGACACATATCTATACTACTGCAGACACAACTATACTACTGTAGACACATCTATACAGCTGAAGACACATATCTATACTACTGCAGACACATATCTATACTACTGCAGACACAACTATACTGCTGCAGACACATGTCTATACTACTGCAGACACAACTATACTGCTGCAGACACATCTATACTACTGCATACACATCTATACTGCCGCAGACACATATCTTTACTACTGGAGACACATCTATACTGATGCAGACACATATCTATACTACTGCAGACACATATCTATACTGATGAAGACACATATCTACACTGATGAAGACACATATATATACTGATGCAGACATGTACACAGGTGCTCGGCATTTAGGGGATACAGCAAGTTAGCTTGAAGCCAGGACTCCATAGCGGAGATTGGTACATGTTGAATTGCAGCATAGTTTGTCAGGCCAGGACGACACTGGCATTTGTCCGGATTTGTACAGGCACAAACGCACGCACACACATAACATTCCCAATTAATCCTTAACGCAACGTTAAGCCCCATGTCACCTGACCTCACCTAAAAGAGTGAGTGAGTTTGGTTTTACGCCGCTTTTAGCAATATTCCAGCAATATCACGGCGGGGGGCACCAGAAATCACACATTGTGCCCATATGCCACCTGAAAGAAGTGATGGTGCCAAGGCATACACACTTAAGAAATGAGGTGAGGTGAAATTGGGTTTAACGTCGTGCTGGAGAATATTTCGCTCATACGACGACGTGCATGCGTGTGTATGTGTATGTGCGGCTGCTTGTACAAGCCCACACTGAAGCTGGTTTTATAGCGCTAGCCCACTGAGATACCATGCCGCAGTGAAGCATGAATACCCCACTCAGACACATTATACTGACTCCGAGCCGACCAGTCCTTGTACAAGTACCATATTTTAACGTCTTTTGGTATGACGCGGTCGGGGATCGAACCCGCGACCTTCCGCTCTCCGGGCGGACGCTCTAACCACTACACCACGGAGGCGGTCTCTAAGAAATGAAGTGTTACAGGAACATTCTCCTATTTAAGACATTCTCTTGTGGTATAATAATGACGTGACAAATGTGTTTGAAATCATTAGATATGTTGTAGAGGTGATACTTTTTCAGAGTAAAACAGTTTCCTATACACTGAACCCAAAACCTTCCTTTTGCAGGCTACGATGCGGGTTCCGGTCACGCAATCTGGTCACGGTTGACGGTGAAGGCAAACATATTTGACCACAAATTTAACCATCAATTGTAATCTGTACAAAAGGTGGAGTAACTTTTTTCTAAAATTATGACATCATTATCACTATTTCCACATTTAATCATCCTTCAAATATTCTTATTCACTTCGGTTCAAGTGTAACACATCTGTGACTATCTATGGCAATGAAAGTACATTCCATCTTGGTTGTGTCGAACTTTGATGTCTCGAAGTGAAAACTTGGCCACTGTAATTCCATTATTTAGTCACCATTTCGCAGTTGTGTTGAACCTGGGATAACTCAAGGCATTTCGAAATAGACAAAATGCTCAATGTTCTGTTGGCTAATAGAAGATATCAACTATTCTATGACAACCCGTGAAGGTCCAAATAAGAACTGGTCTTCAGTAACCCATGCTTGTGGTAAGAGGCGGCTAACGGGATTGGGTGGTCAGACTCGCTGAATTAGTTGACACATGTCATCGTATCCCAGTTGCGTAGATCGATGTGCATCCTGTGGATCACTGGATTGTCTGGTCCAGGCTCGATTATACACAGACCGCCGCCATATAGCTGGAACATTGGTGAGTGCGGCGTATAACTAAACTCACTGACTTTACTCTATGACTAATGGTTTAGTTTTATTGCGGTATGATATACACATACATACAAACATTTATGTAGAGCCTTTTATCAACTTAATTGTTCAAAAGCGTTATCTGAGTCCACTTTATCTATGTGCAGAGGTGAATAGGTGCGTCTTGAGTCCACTTTTAAAATGTGACAGTTCTATTTCGGAACGAAGGACGGCTGGTAAATTGTTCCAGAGAAAGGGTCCTGCTCTAGAATGATATGCTAAGACTCACAAGGGCATCTGAGGATGACCGGTATCATCTCTTGATCTCGTTGAATTGTGTCACATCCGTCAGGGAATTGTAATTTTCAAATGTCCAGGAAACTGTAACTAACAAAAATAACTCGTAAACAGTCCGCCCGATCAGATGTTCAGTTTACGGTAAAATTCAATGTTTAATCTGTATAGCAAACCTGTTTTCAACAAAATAGTTTATTGTTATTTTAATAATGAGTACAGATCTTGTTTGTTATTGACCTGTAGGTTTATGCCAACAGATGCCGCTGTATGGAGGAAAGACGTTCACGGTACTGAGCGGCATTCTCCAGGTCTACGTGTTAGCTCACCTAAACCGAAACCATCTATCAGTGGTCTGTAAGTAATACACCTTTACAGCCTTATAATCTACACCATTAATGAATCCCGTAAAGATCCGGGTTAGAATTGGTCTTCAGTAACCCTTGTTTGTCGTAAGAAGCGACTAACAGTATCAGCTGGTCACGCTCGCTGACCTGGTTGACACATGTCATCGGTTCCCAATAGCGCAGATCCATGCTCAGGCTGATGACGACTGGATTGTCTGATCCAGATTTGATTATTTAAAGACCGCGGCCATAAAGCTGGAATATTGCTGAGTGTGGCGTAAAACTAAACTCACTTACACACTCACACCATTAATGAACAAGGGTGACCTCAGATGCTTATTTTATTTAGGAGAAAATACACATAACTGGGATTAATGATGTGATTGTAATCAAAGATATACCCACCTCAATTAGCTAAGAATTTTAAAATATAGTTACATTTATGAATTCTCATTCGTTATAACCTTTGTTGTAACAGTATATTAAAGAATTTGCCAAACATAAACTGTACCTACTCATTGGAAGTCCATCTTTGGTAGCATGCATCGCCACTACTGAACCCCACCTTGGTTCCGCCAATGCAAAACATTAACTTCAGAGTGGTTAATAGTTAATTTCAAAAGGGGGCTTCGAACACCCTGAACACCCTGAACACACACACCGGATGCGCCAATGGAGAGATGAGGTGAGGTGAGGTGAAATTGGGTTTAACGTCGTGATTGAGAATATTTCGCTCATATGACGACGTGCATGTGTGTGTATGTGTATGTGCGGCTGCTTGTTCTAGCCCAGACTTAAGCTGGTTTTATAGTGCTAGCCCACTGAGATACCATGCCGCAGTGAAGCATGAATACCCCACTCAGACACATTATACTGACTCCGAGCCGACCAGTCCTTGTTGTGCCCATTAATGCCGAGCGCCAGGCAGCAATGGAGAGAGACACCACATTCAAGGTTTGAGAAAATCCATGTTGGATCTTTATACAGCATGCATTACCCCTGGGAGAATATCGGCAAGATAAATTTCATATTTGTTTCATTTTAATATGTAGAGCGGGACACTACGTGTTCAATCTTTATATCGCACGCATTACCACTGGCAAGGCCAAGGTCTCATGTGATAAATATAGCCCCTTCGAAAAAGAACGTCTCCCTACATTTACACTTTTACAAAATGTTTTCTCTGCGGAAAATGTTTTGAAAAACACACGGGAATTATTTATAGTTTGTGTTTTTATACGATGTGTATTACTCTTGCGTGATGTACGTGGATGTACGTTCTCTGTTGCTGTTCAGCGTAAGCCACGGTGTGTCTTGAACTGACATTACAATTTTGTTTTTCTTCCTTAACGAATGTTTTATCAATCGCTTGCGAATTTAAAACATGTTGACGGGAATTACAGGAGATATAGAGCCCGAGACCCGACACTTTTATTGGATGTTTAAGTTTTTCTCGTCAGAGTGTTATATAATTCCTTTAACACGAACATCGCAGCAGATACAGGACGTTACACAGCATTAGAAATTACATCATTTTCTAAGCTTTTTAAGGATACGAAAATATTAGCACTGGTATCAATACATGTTTTTAAATTATACACTTCAGTGTCAATATAACAAAAGATCCCATCTCTTTAATTTTTTTACAGTTTGACTTTACCACCTTCAGAACTGTCCTGAATAATAGCTGCGAATAACGTTCCTGCAATTCATTCGTTCGTTCGTTCGTTCGTTCGTTCGTTCATTCATTCATTGATTCATGTGACAGGCGCATGCCCCGTTCGATTCATGACAGAGTTGTCCCGTCCCATTCAATTAATAATTAATCAATTAATAACAGTTAATTTTCATCACTTATTTGGTTCATTTTCTGTTTATCCATTTATATGTATATTTTGATAAATTACATACGATTCTGATATTTTGTTTAAATCAGCAAAGAACATTTCACAATAGCCTTGGAACTTCACAGAACTTCACATTCAGTACCCAGGATTCATGACCAAGAGGGTGCCAAATCCCTAAATCTGAGACAGCCTCCGGGGTGTAGGGGTTAGAGCGTCCGCCCGGAGAGCGGAAGGTCGCGGGTTCGATCCCCGACCGCGCCATACCAAAAGACGTTAAAATATGGTACTCGTTGGTCCCTGCCTGGCGCTCGGCATTAATGGATACAACAAGGACTGGTCGGCTCGGAGTCAGTATAATGTGTCTGAGTAGGGTATTCATGCTTCAATGCGGCATGGTATCTCAGTGGGCTAGCACTATAAAACCAGCTTAAGTCTGGGCTAGTACAAGCAGCCGCACATACATATACACACGCATGCACGTCGTCATATGAGCGAAATATTCTCAAGCACGACGTTAAACCCAATTTCACCTCACCTAACCTAAATCTGAGTCTCTGGCATTCGGTTTGATTTGCCATGGCATGCAGTAAGTGAATGAGTGAGTTTAGTTTTACGCCACTTGTAGCAATATTCCAGCAATATTACGGCGGTTGACACCAGAAATGGGCTTCACATATTGTGCCCATGTGGGGAATCGAACCCGGGTCTTCGGAGTGACGATGGAACAACACATGAGTTACATCAGAGTAAAAAGCTGGCACAAGTAAAATATACTGGGATATTTTTGTATGCACTCTTTCAAAGAAAACAAAAGATGAAAAAATAACTTTTCAACATTGAAATAATGGCATCAGGGTGAAAGGTAGTATTAGGCTCCGTCCGTCCGTACGTACGCACGTACGAATTGGAATATCTTAAGAACCGTTGATTAGATTATTTTCATACTTGGAACATAGGTCCATCACAGTATGCGAAAGGGCCATTTCGAGGTCACAAGGGGACTTTAATGTTTTATCCTTGTCAGCGAGATATCTCAAGAACCGTTCCTGGATTTTCTACATATTTGACACCAAGCTTCATCTAGGGAATGCGCAGAGCCCAGTATGTCTTGGTGACCTTCATTTAATTTTCAAGGTCATGGCGACACTTTGAAGATTTCAGCATGTTAACCCGCATTTTAAGCTTGTCAGTGAGATATCTCAAGTACCATTCACTGGATTTTGTTCATATTCGACACCAAGCTTCATTCAGGGAAGGCGCAGACCCTAATCAATTTTGGTGACCTCCACATAATTTTCAAGGTCACAGCGACACTTTGAAGATTTCAGTATGTTAAGATAGTCAGCAAGATATCTCAAGAACGATTCACTGGATTTTCTTCATAGACGTTCAAGACTTCTCTTGATGTTTTTAGATAAGCAATTTCTTTATTACTATTTTTGCATATTTCATACACAATCTCATTCATGTCAAGGTCAAAGCGAGTCTTGAAAATATTTGTGTGTTTGAACAGCTACAGAACAAGATTTCAAGAGAGGTTGACTGGTAATGTTTTTGTTGACATTTAATTGCATCTTAAAGTACGACCTTCACTTTCATTACTTGTCAAGTTTGATTTAATCATTTGTGGCGGAGGATTATGTCGCCTTAGTGACAACTGCTTGTTTAGTTAACATATAATGGGCGGCTTCTGTGGAATGAATCTCAATCACTACTGTACCTTCATATGTTTCAGGTCAACCTGACTTCCGGTGCCCAGAGTTATCTGACCTTGGTTCTTCTGCTCGACTGTTCTGCTCGGCGTCCAACACCGACACCAACATCATCTACTCAGGCCCGGGGGATCTGGACGCCCCGCACTGTAACCTGACACGGGGGTTATGCACAAGCATTGCGGGCTACACGGGGACAGTACTTGACGCCAACGACACCGAGCTGGTCATACACAACGTCCAACCAGGCATGGCAGGTTCCTGGAAGTGTAAGGATGACCTCCGGAGTCTCTCGTCATACTGCACTGTGAATGCAGTTCGTGAGTGTGTTTATAGACATCTCGTCTCCAATGTATATGTATTTCATATTTATCACGTTCATTCTACAGGTTTAAATTTGAGAGTTTATTATTTACACATGATAATTAGTAAAATCACAGATTTTGAATATCTTCACCTATCAATAAGTGTTTGAAAGTCAACTTGGTATTTTACCTGTAATGCTGGACTACTGCTAGTCTCTGAAATGAACATATTGTACAGAAAATAAAAGTTTTAGAATTAAAATTATAGATACAATGAAAAGGAGTCCAGAGACCTTCTTTATTTTCTGAAACTGCGGTAATCTAGACTTGCCACACATTCTAGACTTGCATGGGCTGCATTGGGTATATTTTTTTCAGGGTCTGTATGACAGACTACTGTAATGCATACACTGATAAATGCAGGCAGTTTCAACAATATTTGTGTAATTAATGCATGCATACAAGTAGATATGTTTGGACAAACTGCATCAATACGCGTTACATAAGCCAGTAAAAGTCGTGTGTTGCGCGTGTTCCAAATGAATGAGTGAGTGAGTGAGTGTGAGCGAGTGAGTGAACGATTAATAGCCTCACCCTTCCCTACATTTGGTGTTTGGGTCCCACGCCAAGATGCAAATAGCGACACACTGAAGAAGTGTATGATAACTGATACATTCTTTCCAGAGATCCCATCCTGTAATATAACCAGTGACAGTGAGATAGACACAGATACAGATACAACGTCAGTACAGCTCAACCGGTCAGTAACAGTGGACCTCAAGGGCCTGTACTGTTCCACTGTTTTCAACTTCACATTACAAGTCGGAAACACAAGGCAACATCTGATGACATCTGAGGCTCTAGATCAACCTACAGATAAAAACAACACACTGATTCTAGCAGATACGACCTATGGAGAAACGACGCTGATTTTCACCTGCGGCAATCAACAACGAAATGTTACCTGTGGAGGTTTAGCACATATACCAAAAAGCAAGTATTTTTTTTATTATATCCTTTTATGAGTATGTTGTGTTGCTAAAACGTGATCATTATGCTTTGGGTTAATGAATGATAACCTGTGAAGATCCGGGCTAGAATTGATCTTCAGTAACCCATGCTTGTCGTAAGAGGCGACTAACAGGATCGGGTGGTCAGGCTCGCTGACTTGGTTGGCACATGTCATCGGTTCCCAGCTGTGCAGATTGATGCTCATGCGGTGGATCACTTGATTGTCTGGTCCAGACTAGATTGTTTCCAGACCGCCGCCATACAGCTGGAATATTGCTGAGAGCGGCATTAAACAAAAAACAAAGAATTAGATCCGACGGTGATGATGAATTTAAGATGGAATCACCCATTTTGTTCTTGGGAGGTACATTGTACATGCTTCTCCATAAAAATCACCCCCTCCCCACAAGCCATATAATATCAACGGTTCCATATGTCACATTCCAACCCATTACTGTTACAGATACCGAGAACAAGGGAACCAAGAACACTACAGCAGCAGTAATTGGATCCGTTGTTGGCATCTTGGTCGTCTTCGTGATCACTGTGGGAATCTTTACTGCTTTAATAGTGAGAAAAAAAAAGATACTGACTTGATGGAAATGAATGCATGAATACTCATTCCACGTCAAAACATAACGTGGCAGTGTATTAGTTTTCCTCAAACTTTATTAGATGATAAAAATTGGTTAAATGATTGTCTAGATAAGTACTTTGTTTCGAGTTTGAACAGAAGCCTGATATTATGCATGGCGACAATGCTGTCACATCTATTCGTCATTGCGTTTGATCAACTATTGCGAAAAAACATTCTTGTTGTCAACATCTTGCCTACTTGGGTTATACAGTTGTCATGGAAGAATATGACGTCATAGATTGTATCCTTGCGCGTTAGGTTACAGGTTAATGTCCTGGGAGTGAACACTCAGTGACATCCGAAAACAGCAAATTGTGTTCCTACAATAGGATTTACATTATTAAGTAAAGATAAAATGCGGATCTCTTATCCATGACGGGTTGATTCTATTGTGGTTTATTGGTATTTTATGTGATGAAGGTATGTATACATACGAAATAATTAATATTTGCAATTTCGTCATCTCACTCGTGAATAGTCATTTATGTTTGTGAACGTATTTTTTGTGACTGTCCTGACCCACTTTCACATTACACATTCCCGTCGACACCCTTGCATCTAAGATACAGAATGAAATTTCAAATACTAAAAATTCCGAATAGAAATGTTAAACTTGAGAAGTTTTTTAGATTTCTTGAAGGTATCATTAAAGTAGTGTTTGAAGCTGTTTGAAACAGTCTCACCACAAATGAAATCACATTTTAAGTGATCAAGTCGTTAGTTTGTGTTATTGAATGGGAATTACTCATGCTGATAAGACCGCTTTGTTATACCTGGACCCAGTCAGTGAAATTGTCTAAAGATATATTTCTTCATTTCTAAACTCTTAATATACTACCCATCAAAATTTTAGACTAACTTAAAGCACTCACTATATGTTATGTATATATATATGGTTACATCGAAGATGAATTTCTCCACTAACTTCGGGGACGAACTGCAAACCTTATGCAGATGAACTGCACGAGGATCATGCATCAAATTGCGGAAAAGCATGTGCAGATATTGTGCATGTGAACTGCTGCGTTTTGGTGTAAAGTTTTGTTAAGAATTCGCCATTTTTAATGAGTTTCATCTTTGTTTAACTCATGACAATAATCTTTTCAACGTTATGAATTTGTTTTCCAATATATCAATTCATGTGTAAACAGCACCGATAAACAATATGGAATATGTTGCACAATTTAGTTCAGAACAGTTGACTGAAGTAAGTGGCTACATTTACGCTAGTGAGTCTAAACTTTTGATGGGTAGATATTTTAAGATAACATATGTTATATATGTATACGACTTGTTCATGGTCCTATTGATACTTTAAGATTATTAATTTTTCAGGTATTGTCATTGTTGATGTGTCATATGCCGTTTGTTTATTCCAACTGGTTACCATTAGCCTTTCAAACCATACAATCCAGTGATTGATATTATGAGTGTTTATTGTAATAGTGTACAGTGCCAGTATTACTCTTTTGTATGAAATATAATATAAATATGGTATGCACGTGATGTGGATTTTTATTCCCAAATTAAATATTTTTACAAGGAATGTTACGAGTGCTGATTGATAATATCTGAGTCTCGCATTGAAGGTGTACATTATAACGAAATCGGTTGTTGTTTATAATGCATGATGTCACAGAGGTTTCAAATGGACAACATGCGTTGCAATGAAACGTCAGTAAAATAAGCAGGGGTCATTTGGAAAATGAATACACTTGAGGAATGTGCAATGATAAAGTACTTGTAGAAACAGGCTTAACCACGAATCAAAAACAAAAGATATAAGACACACGTGCAAATCCATGGAGATGTGAATACCTGACGGGGAAGTCCCTCACTGATTTACGGAAGAGAAGAAGGTAGTAGACTTAAAGGACTGTCTGGAACTAGAACGGCACAAAATGGTAGAGAGCGACCAGAAAATGTCTCAGAGTGTTATTTAAATGAGACTACATTCCGTTACATAGTAATCTTGGCAGTGGTGAAAGAATCAGGTCACAGGTTCCAAAATGTCTAATACCTGTCCGAAGCTGATCCATTAAGGTTCTTTCAGCAGTGTGTGACTACCGGTATAGACGAGAAACCTGCTTTCATTATTTCAATCCTGAGTCCAAACCAAAAAATAAAACAATGGAAGCATTTTGCACCGCCGCTAAAGAAGGCAAAAAATGTTCAGTAACACTGATAGATTATCTCCTCGTGTTATTAATGATCAAGGTATCCTTCAAAAGGCCAGAAAATACACGGTGTATATTGTGCTGCTCTGTTTAGGCACTTAAAGGAGGAAATCAAGACTAGGAGATGTAGGAAACTAGGACAATGTGGTTCGATCTATCAGGACAATGTGTTGATGCCACACCCAGTCACCACAATGGCTACAGTCACTGGGTGTGGATTTGAATTACTCCAGCTCGTATCCTTTTTTCTTGGTCCATCCATCACCGTCAGACTTCCATATGTTTCGAAAATGAGGACAGGTCAGATAGAAAACATTTGGACGGCCATGAGAAGGAATCTGACAAACCTATGATGAAATCACCCAACATGGTAGTGAAAAGTTACATCTTACGCACATTATTTATAATGGTCAAATCTTTTCTGTGTGAGGCTCAGAATTTATCAGTCACCCCTTGTATGCCCGGTGGATTGTTAACTGTCTTCATGCCTAACGTTTCCCATTGCCATCATATCATTACAATCTGAGTGAGTGGGTGTTTGGATTGTACTCCGTTTATAGCATGATTCCGTCCATAAGACTCTAAATACTATACTGGATCCAAAACGGGTCAATGTCAGTGTTAGTTAGAGGGAAACGTAACATGGAAGATTATACCTGGTGAAACAGATTTATAACTTTGAAAACAGTTCGGCTTATAAGAAAAAATATCTATGTGGAAGCTCACATATTGTAGCGTTTGATCCAACATGTAAGTATTAGTTAGAGGGAAAAGTAGTAACAAAGATTATACCTGATAAAACTGATCTGTAATTTTGGAAACACTTCTTCCGATAAAAATAGCTTATTTTCACTTACTTATTTTTATTATAGCTTATATCCAACACGGGGTTAGTGGGAAAAGTAATTAGTAAGATTATACGTGATGAAATCGATGTATATAGTTCGAAACACTTCTGCTTATAAAGAATAAATATCTATGTGGAAACTCACAAACTGTTTTGGATCCAACAGGAATTAATTAAAGTGTTAGTTGGAGAGAAAAGTAACATGGAAGATTACACCAGATGAAACAGATCTATAACTCTGGAGACACATCTGCTTATAAAAAAAATAAAAATAATATATGGCACTTGATGAACAATCGTTTCAAGTGACATGTCATCAATAGTTTATGTCAGTGTGGTCTTTAGAGTGTATGGATATTTATTGTTTTCTTTCGTTTTTCCTTCAATTAGAAACATTGATGAACTGTTCTACTGGTGCTAAAACAATGCCATCCATTACCTGTCTCAAGCTACCTATGAGGAGGTAAACCCGCTAGTCATGAGCCACGTATGTTTATTTTTTCTACAACTGTATATGAAACTATCTGAACTCCTTCATACTGCTGAATATTATGCAATTTGTACAATTTTGTGGAATTTGTATAAATAAAACTTTTTGACATTATTCTCTGTGTATTTTTATTAAATGGCCAAAGGAAACCTCCTACATTTTGGAAACATATGCAGAATAAGTCTAGTTCAAAATGTTCCACCATGAATGCTTATCGAAACAGAAAATCTGAAATATATTTGTCAAAGTAAATTTAGGATCATCAGTGAGTCAATATGATTTCGAAAACTATACACAGGTAGTGAGTGAGTGAGTTTAGTTTTACGCCGCACTCAGCTATATTCCAGCTATGTGGCGGCAGCCTGTAAATAATCAAGTCTTGACCAATCCAGTGATCAGCAACATGAGCATCGATATGCGCAATTGGGAAACGATGACATGTGTCAACCAAGTCAGCGCGCCTGACCACCCGATCCCGTTAGTCGCCTCTTACGACAAGCATGGGTAACTGAAGATCAATATTTTAACCAGGATCTTCACGGGTGTATACACAGATAGTCAATAGGTCTTCCTAACATTGCACAGAAACCAACATGTCAATTTTAATCAAACAGATCATTATGTATCGCTATGATTACCGTCCTGTTTCCTTTGCTGTCGTTTAGAATCTTTTCTCTCATGATATGAACGTAGCAATTAAGCTTATCTTAGTGTCATTAGTATACATAGGGATGAACGTTATTAATCATTAATCATGATTTTTTTCTCCTCGTCGCTTCAGTTTTCACATTATTTCGGAGTTGTTGTCTTTTTTCGAAATTTACAGGTTTTTGTCGTTAATTCCATTCTCTTCGCATAATTGCGTTTATTTTCTCTCCTTATTTCAAGTTTATATTAAAATAACCGAAAAACCAACTCTTTTCCGTTACTTTGGATCTTACTGATTATTTCAGTTACCAACACGACACGCTGGAATATACTCAAAGGCAACAGTTACTGTGAAACACAAACAACAAATGAAATCAATGTTAAACGATTCCTTTAGCGAATGACATGATATTATATGGAAAAGGCAAAAGTTTCAAGGTATGATAATGAACACCCGTCCAAAAGAACAGCGCACCTGGCACATGCACCAAAACAGAGCCTGTTCCAAGCTTGTCCATGGGGTCAGTAGCGAGTGTGTCCACCTTGTGCATTCATGCAGGCCTAGCACCTACGCCTCACTGGGGTCACTAAGTGTCGATGAACGATCAGAGGTCAGGATAACACATTAACATTGTTCTCATGAAGATACTGCTGTACAACTTCATGAATGTGTGGACTCGCGCCATCATATTGAAATGTCACTCAACGGATGTTCTTTTGCAAAAAATGGTAAAGCGGCCATTTGCAAAATCTCCTCTTGGTACCTCGCAGCATTCAAGTTGCCCTCATTCACAATCATTATCGTCCTTGCTGTAACTGTTATCCCAGCTCAGATCATACCGACCCCATCTCCAAAAGGTTCCCCTTTCAGAGCACTCGGCCTGATGGTAACGTTCACCTGTGCGCCTCAAGACTCGTGTCCTTCCATCAGGTTAAGATAACATTTCTGCACTCACGTGCTCCCATTGCATGGTTGTCTGCTCAACTGGAGACGTCGACGTCGATGTTTTGCCGTCACAACTGGCCGTCGGTCTTGGCATTTTGCGGGGCGGTGGGGTAGCCTAGTGGTTAAAGCGTTGGCTCGCCACGCCAAAGACTCGGGTTCGTTTCCCCACATATGGGTACAATGTGTGAATCCCATTTCTCCACAGCCAAATGTACACCAGCAAGCAGAATCTACTCCTATATGGGATACTTAAGGAAAAAAGAGGACCTATTTGGGGAAAAAGAGCCATATTCAAATCTACGCTATCAGAGGCGGTAAACACTTCTTGCAAACACTGAAGTTGCCATCAAGCGTATCGATGCACGCAGGACAGAACCAGCCATTAAACGCAAGGTGAACCTATGTGTGTTGAAGGGAGGGAGGTTAGTGTGGTGGCAGTTCAGCGAATCGGTGTGTGCTCTTGAATGTGAAATAATGTAAGAAACTGGTCATATTTGAGGTTTAGGGTGAACCTATGTGTGTTGAAGGGAGGGAGGTTGGTGTGGTGGCAGTCGGATGCGTGTGGATGACGTTGAATGTGAAGGAATGTATGTTCATACGAGGGGTTTTATGCAGTGTGGCATAATGTATGGGTACGTACCTCTGTGTGCATGGGGGTTGTTGCCACTGCATGATGGCTGTTACAGTATGTGTGTTGACGGGATGTGTTCAATTTTAATATTATCATGGTTTTTATCCTTGTTTTCTTGTGTGTCGCATAGGTTTAATGAGGCCAAACTTTGTACCGGAGTTCGACACATTGTAATAAACAATTTTTCTTTTTTTCTTCTTTCTTTAATAACATCAGCATGACTCATTGAAGAGTTAATTGCTTCACATCACTCAAGTGGAACAAAATGTTTTTTAAAGGTTTATTTACGTAACCCAGCTATAGAAAACAAAAGGAATAGCTAAAGATTAAATTACTTACTCCACTTTTACAGAACAAAAGAAAGATTTAGTCATTTACATACTAACTATACAGATCTAACGGTAATCATTAAACATTCGTTACACAACACGTTTATGGAAAAACTTACTGGTCATTATATAATAACACACCACTTATATAGAATAAAGGGTAATGGGTAACGATTTTATTACTTATGACACAACAACATATATACCTAATGATAAGTGTTAAGGATTGAATTGCTTACGAACCACTGCTTGAGATCTAACTATTTGCACAATATGTACATGGACATAAATGAATCAAATAAGAATTTGATTTCAAGGCACAAATCACGCTAGTTTTCATTTGAATCAACATTTTAAAAGATCATTTATAGAAAGATCAAATGAACCTATGTACTATTCCCTGGCTTGTACTGCCGTGGTTTGTTTGTTGTTTCACTCCGCACTCAGCAATATGGCGTCAGTGTGCACATAATCGAATCTGGACCAGACAATCCAGTGATCAACATCATGAGCATCGATCTACGCAATTGGGGTACGATGTCATGTGTCAAGACAATGCTGTAACAAATATGTGACACCGCTTCTCTAATGCATAGAGTGCATACAAGGATGTTATTAGATGACAAGTGGATGCACGTTGCCCAGAAGTAGAAGTCTACGAGTGCCCTGTACTATATACAGACATAAACCAAGATCCTCCACATATTTGTGCTACGTCCCCAGCACAGAGCCGTCCGCAGTTGTTCTCATCATATCGACTTTGATCAGCTGGGATGGAGTTGCCACAAAAACACTGACTGCCGGCCTGGAAACAAAAACAGATTCGTTTAGAATTATACTATCCCAAAAAAGAATAGGATAGGCCAGAAATCTGTTGCGAAAATGTTGTATTTTCAAACATGTATAACTCGTCTACAAATTGACTTTAGGACATGATTTTGTACATCAGTTTTGAAGAGGGTAATGTCTATACTACCAAGTGGATAATTTTAGATAACGGAGACGTTGAGCGCGATGGTGACGACGTAGCACGGTCCCGACATCGGGTCTCCTGGCTCTCAGTCCAATCTCTCACAACAGTTTGACCGGATATCCTCTGGCTGCTGTGCTCTCACCCGTGGCAGTACGATCACACAAATGTAGTACCCGGATGTACAGATCTTTGACGGCAGCGGTGACTCGAAGTCTGCCTGTACGGGGACGGTCATTTGTTATACCTGTTTGGTTGTAACGAGCTGCAAGCCGTGATGTCGTACTCAGACTAAAATTCAGACGCCTGGCAACAAAAGGTTGGTAACCTCCAGCGTGCATTCTTTCAATGGCGATGTTCCGTATCGCAGCGTCAAAGCATGGCGTAGTGATTTGACCTTGAAACTCCTTCAAAACGAATGCCAATTTCCGTAAGTAATCTGGATTTTTATAGCCAGACAGTGCATGCTCTTTGCTGCACAATTTCAACTGGAAGGTGATTTCTGTTGCTTTGTAGCGATGCCTGTTTAATCCTTGTAAGAATTCTCATCAAAATCAACATTTTCAGGTAAAGTCGATTTTTTACTTGTGCAATTGTGTAAAAGAATGTTATCAACACTTTTGTTACATATTTTGACGATTGTTTGAACACAATAGGTAATTAATAGATTTAAAATAATACAAAACGCCTATGCGTGTCTTTTTGGGGATAGCATATGTCAGAAGGAGAGGAAGTATTTCTGGACATTAGTGGGACTTCCCATCTCAGGTGAAGAAGCACTGAATTCCCATCTGTGAACAAAAATGTATGTCTGGACATTAACGGGACATCCCATGTAAGGTGAAGAAGCACCGTTGCCTGCCTGAGAACAAAAAAGTGTTCTGGGATATCAGTGGGACTTACCATCTAAGTATAAGAAGCACTCAAGGCCTACATGAGAGCGAAATAAAATAACAAAAATCTCTGGTAATTAGTGGGACTTCCAATCTGAGGAAAAACGCACTCAACGCCTATCTGTGACCGAAACAGCATACGTGGTAATGTTACTTCACATCTAAGGACAGGAAGCACACAGTGCCTATCTGTGACCAACACAGTATCTCTGGTGATGTTACTTCACATCTAAGGACAGGAAGCACACAGTGCCTATCTGTGACCAACACAGTATCTCTGGTAATGTTACTTCACATCTAAGAACAGGAAGCACACAGTGCCTATCTGTTACCAAAACAGCATGCTTGGTAATGTTACTTCACATCTAAGGACAGGAAGCACACAGTGCCTATCTGTGACCAACACAGTATCTCTGGTAATGTTACTTCACATCTAAGAACAGGAAGCACACAGTGCCTATCTGTGACCAAAACAGTATCTCTGGTAATTGGCTGAAATTCCCTTCTAAGAATAGGAGCCGTCAATGCCTGTTTGTGAACCAAAAAACCCCAACATTACTGGTAATTATAGGGACGTCCCATCTCAGGATAAGATGCAATTAAACAAAAGTACATATACGTCGGCTGCTTATTCTACAGTACAACCAGGTCGCGTTAGTCCGGTCCCCGATAATCCACAATTTCGGACATTTTGGCGTAGTAAGGTTAAATATTTCTGAAGATTCTGCTTCTTTAAACGGGGCAAGAAGTGCAAGACTTCAAAAATGTGAGGAAGCGCTTTATGTTTGGACAAATGAGTGAGTGAGTGGGTGAGTTTAGTTTTACACCGCACTCAGCAATATTCCAGCTATATGGCAGCGGTCTGTAAATAATCGAGTCTGGACCAGACAATCCAGTGATCACCAGCATGAGCATCGATCTGAGCAATTGGGAGCCGATGAATGTGTCAACCAAGTCAGCGAGCCTGACCACCCGATCCAATTAGCCGCCTCTTACGACAAGCATAGTCGCCTTTTGTGGCAAGCATGGGTTGCTGAAGACCTATTCTACCCCGGATCTTCACGGGTCTTTGGACAAATGAAATGACCAGTAAAAGTGCATGTGTATTTTCTTTTGTCTCTATCAGTCAAGTCAAAGGGAGGTAACTCTACTGCAGTGTGATGTACTGGACTTGTTTCACCAAAGCGAACGTTTCACTATCCGAACATTTTTTTTATGAAAAACGGCACTGTTCGGATTAACGAGGACTGACTGTATTCAATGTGAAACATACCTGAGTAGCGGCTAGTCTGTATCCCTGTGTTGTACAGTACGCTATACACACTTCTGGTGTCATATCATTCCTGAAATATGGGTGAGGCAAAACACGGGTCGGGTAGTCCCTATAGCAGCCCAGATAATCTGTAATAAAAGAAGGTAAAAATATATTGTTTGGCTCTGAGTTTTCAGCACAATGACATGTGAACTTGAAATCAAGTTTTGTAATCTAAACAATCCTGGTAATTAGTGGGACTTCCCATCTGAAGAAAAGAAGCACTCAGTGCCTATCTGTGACCGAAGCAGCATACCTGGTAATTAGTGTTACTTCCCATCTAAGGAAAAGAAGCACACAGTGCATATCTCATTCTCTTCCCACAGAGGTTACTCCTGTCATATCTTCCTACGTAACCTCTGTTCTAATACGGCCCTTTCATGGTGTGAGCGTTCAAGACTCGTGATTGGAGGCAATCAGATGTAGTTGTGCAATCAGCGACGTTGTTTCAAAAGTGATCATTCGCAAGGCCTCGGTAATTTCCGTATGCTTCGAGAAAACTAAACCTCTTCCCCTGCGCGATGCGCAAACGTTTCTTCTAGACAGAACTCAGTCATGTTAAGGCGGATCAGTGGCGTTTCCATCGCCCTCGTTGACAACGGACAAGCTAGCCATTAAACGTCTTGTGTGTAACATCAACACAAGTCCCCGGCAGATTGGGGATATTTGTGGCCCCACATTTGCTTGTGTTAGTCAAGTTGAATCTAAGTCGATTTAACACGTGTTCTGATTGGATAGAAAGAAGGGAGATACTTCGTGTTGCGATCTTTTGCCGCTAGGGGATTTTACGAGAACCGGGAAATATGGCCGTATTAGAACAGAGGTTCGTAGGAAGATATGACAAGTAACCTCTGTGGGAAGAGAATGTGCCTATCTGTGTTTTAGAATCATCACGATTTCATGGTCATCGTATCGCATGGTCACAGTCATTGGATTGTCTAGTCAAGACTCGATTTGTTTGGTGCCTAAAGTTTTGTGACTAAAGTTTGGACTTACTTGAATCGCATGACCAGGTATCTGTAGAGAAGTTGGATCTGCATTTACAAATTCCAAGCAGGCAGACTGTTCCCATTGCCACACAATCTGTATCACTCCTGCAAGTTGCACCAACCAGATTCTCCCCTTCAGCAGATAGAAAGTCGACGAGATACGCAGTTAGAAGTGTGTATACATCTATATACACTTCAAAATAATTAGGGGAACTTCATTTTTAATTTGCGATTTAAAAAAAAAAGGGAGATATATCGGAGTCAGTTAATGTTGATATGATAATAATGAATGTTTTGAGAGTGCATCACCACATGCACTTCCTCGTGATCATGGGCTGTAATCGCTCTTGAAAGATGATTGGTGTATGTGTACGATTTCAAACAAATACAAACGGCTAGACAGACTGACTGACTGACTGAGTTTGGTTTTACGCCGCTTTTAGCAATATTCCAGAAACATCACGGCGGGGTACACCAGAAATGGGCTTCACACATTGTGCCCATGTGGGGATTCGAACCCGGGTCTTCGGCGTGAGGAGCCAACGCTTTAACCATTAGGCTACCCCACCGCTCCACAAACGCCACTCACGATATAGGGAATTGAGATACGATGAAATATGTCAACCAAGTCAGCGAGCCTGACCACCCGATCCCGTTAGTCACCTCTTACGACAAACATGGGTTACTGAAGATCAATTCTAACCCGGATCTTCACGGGTCGAGAGACTAATTGGATCGAGTGGTCAGGCTAATTGATTTGATGCATGTCATCGTGAACCATTTGCTTGGAATTTCTAAGTCACACACCGGATTGTGTGGCTTGGGATGGGTAAGTTTCAGACCTGCGTCGTGAAGCTGGGATATTCTCGGATACAGGGTTGCACAAACAACTAGCGACCAGCGTCTAACTTTCAAAGAAAAAATCATATAACTGCCATCTACCACCTTAATCATATGTAAGATCCATCTGCAACTTGACGTCACGACATTGCTGAAATACTGCATCAAATCACTCACTCATATAACTGCATCCAAGCATACCAACCCGTGAAGATCCGGGTTAGAATGAACCTTCAGTAACCCATGCTTGTCGTAAGAGGCGACTAACGGGTTTGGGTGGTCAGGCTCGCTGACTTGGTTGACACATGTCATCGGTTCCCAGTTGCGCAGATCGATGCTCATGCTGTTGATCACTGGATTGACTGGTCCAGACTCGATTATTTACAGACCGCCGCCATATAGCTGGAATCTTTCTGAGTGCGGCGTAAAACTAAACTCACTTACTCCAAACATACCATAATTATTGGTTTGAATAGATCCTTAGATAGCTTGTGTTTTGGTTTGTTGTTTAACGCCACACTCAGCAATATCCCTTCTATATGGCGGATCTCCGTAAATAATCGACTTTGGACCAGACAATCCAGTGACTGACATACTGAGCATCAATCTACGCAACTGTGATGACATCTGTCAACCAAGTCAGCGAGCCTGACCACACAATCCCGTTAGTCGACTCTTACGACAAGCATGGGTTACTGAAGACCAATTCTAACCCGGATCTTCACCGGTTCCTTAGATAGCAATCACTTATTAACTGCATCACCAAAGACGCATAATTTCAAATTTGTGTCCATATCAGACAATATCCACTTCAGCGATATTTTTTATACATTTTGTTCAAATTTTATTTGCTTTGATTTATGACCCGTGAAGATCCGGGTTACATTTGGTCTTCAGAAACCCATGCTTGTCGTAAGATGCGACTAACGGGATCGCGTGGTCAGGCTGTTGATCACTGGATTGTCTGGTCCAGACTCGATTATTAACAAACCGCCGTCATATAGCTGGAATATTTCGGCGTTAAACAACAAACAAACAAACAAACAAACAAACCAATCCCTTGATTTATGCTTTCCGTCATGCCATAACACCTACCTTTACATGTCAGGTATAGTTTGTTGCCCGTTTCTGTCGAAGTGTTAACGAGATGAGGCGACGTGAACGTGGACGCATGTCCCCGACAAATATTGGTGTTGGAGTTGAATTGAAAACTGAAACACTCGGTGTCTAAAAGACAAAGACGGAAACAAAACTGTTGGTGTGGCGCCGATCTTGACCACAGATGATTGTCAAACACGACGAGGTTGTCAAACAGCTTTGAGTATTTCACCAGACATTCATCACATTGATCAGATGAGACATTGTATGAAAACAGAACCATCATAATCACCAGCTTTGGATCGTAAGCATGTCTTATCAACCTTGGTGACGAAAAGGCCATCTTGTGGGAGGTTCGGTCTTGCCTTTCCTTGTGAAATAGGAATTATACGAATATTTTGCAATTGCTAAACCTTGTCCGAGGAACTAAACCTTTCGATCAGTAGCAGCCCTTTCCTTCAGTAGTAATCTTTTTCCCCCAGTAGTATCCCTTTCCACTAGTAGTAACCCTTTCCCTCAATATTAGAGGGAAATAGTGCATACGATACCCTCAGAAGTTAAGGAAACTTGTCTTCAGTATCTGTGCAAGATATGTCCTTTATGTTCAATCTCTCCTCAATACCTGTGCCTCCGATATTCTCAGAAGTTCAGGAATTTTGTCATCAGTATCTGTGGAAGATATGTCCTTTATGTTCAAGCTCTCTGTGACTCCGATATTCTCAGAAGTTCAGGAATTTTGTCATCAGTATCTGTGCACGATATGCCCTTGATGTTCAATCTCTCCTCAATAACTGTACCTCCGATACCCTCAGAAGTTAAGGAATCTTTGTCGTCAGTATCTGTGCACGATATGCCCTTGATGTTCAATCTCTCCTCAATAACTGTACCTCCGATACCCTCAGAAGTTAAGGAATCTTTGTCGTCAGTATCTGTGCACGATATGCCCTTGATGTTCAATCTCTCTTCAATAACTGTGCCTCCGATACCCTCAGAAGTTAAGGAATCTTTGTCGTCAGTATCTGTGCACGATATGTCCTTGATGTTCAATCTCTCCTCAATAACTCTGCCTCCGATACCCTCAGAAGTTAAGGAAACTTTGTCGTCAGTATCTGTGCACGATATGCCCTTGATGTTCAATCTCTCCTCAATAACTGTGCCTCCGATATCCTCAGAAGTTAAGGAAACTTTGTCGTCAGTAGCTGTACGAGACACTTGATATATGTTGATTGTCTCCTCGTAGCAACGTATACAGTGCCTGCATAACAATGTTCTCGGATTGTGTAATCTACCGTCGGTGCTGGCGATGTCAATTATGCAATTGGACACGGCGTATGCTCCAAGTATTCCTGTCAAATGTATAGCTTGTGTTTCTCGAATCCATGTGCTTCCTTACCTACTTGATGCGTGTACATGTATTGCATGCAGTCTCAAGATCCATTGTATGGATTTGTGTCTTTCTCACATCTTTTGATCCCTCTAGCGACCATGCTTTACATCCCATACACTACATCGTAAAAACAGACTGCCATAGTTAATCCATGACAGTTTGCGTTTACTTAGCGATTATACTTTTATTTAAACTCGAGCTCGCAGCAATACAATGGGACACTAGAATGATAATCGTTTTCTGTTATGAGTATAAACTATCATTGATTCTCAAGAATCGAATTCGCACAATGAGCCATATGGGAGCGGTTTGAAACAAACGAGCCTGCGACCACAATGTGTACACAACAGAGACAACTTTCAAGGACGATTGATTCGTCTCTGCCTCGCGACGAGTTTAATTAGGACCTGGAGAAGTTCGATATCGTCACTGCGTTATCTTGACACTTGATCGTCTGGTCCATTGCTATAGCCTCCTGTCAAGGTGACGGTGGGGTAGCCTAGTGGTTAAAGCGTTCGCTCGTCGCCGAAGGCCCGGGATCGATTTGATTCCCCATATCTTGGTGTTCCCGCCGTGATATTGCTGGAATATAGCTAAAAGCGGTGTAAAACTAAACTTATTCATTCACTCCTGTCAAGGCTTGTTTGTCTATAGGGGCGGTGGGGTAGCCTAGTGGTTAACGCGTTGGCTCGTCACGCCGAAGACCCGGGTTCGATTCCCCACATGGGTACCATGTGTGAAGCCCATTTCTGGTGTCCCCCGCCGTGATGTTGCTGGAATAATGCTAAAAGCGGCGTAAAACCAAACTCAGTCAGTCAGTTGTTTGTCTATAGACATCAAGTAAACATTTACTTCGTCATTCGCATTGTGTGAGTGGCGTTGCTCACATGTACAAGGACATGCTTCTAACAGGAGCCTACCAAGAAGACCTGATTTTCCTGCCTAACCCTCTCCCATAACATCTAATTAGCGAGTGAGTTAAGTTTACGCTGCATACACTAAAACGAACAAACACTAACGCACACACCAGAACACATTACAAGAGTGAGTTTAGTTTTACGTCAGTTTCAGCAATATTCCAGCAATATCACGGCGGGGGACACCAGACATGCACTTCACACATTGTGCCCATGTGGGGGAATCGAACCCGGGTCTTCCGCGTGACGAGCGAACGATTTAACCACGAGGCTACCCACAGCCTCCCCATCTATGCAGTTGTAACGGATCATGTATTTTCTTGATTACATGCTACTAAATTATGTATTATGTATTTTTATGGTGTAAATTGTGTATTTTGATACGGAATACACCACACCCCCTTCTGAACAAATTCAATGGACTTTACCCTACCCACATCACCTAATTAGTTCGCTGTACCAAACGGGTCCAATTTTGGTCAAGTGGGAGGACACCGCCTAACCATGTACGAGTGGTTTCTCCATACCTTAGTATAATCCATACAGTCACTGACCCGTTTAATCTGTTTGTGAGAGATTATCAATGGGTAAACGGGTGTCTGGGTTGGGACAGCCTGACATAGTGCCACAATATAGAAACTAATTATAGTGTATCTTTTCGAGTACATGTACACTGTGTAATATGATAAGATTAATAAAAGGGGTCTTTTATTTAAGAAGTGAACTAATATAGTCTGACAATGCGAAGATTAATATCAGATATTTGATTTAAACACTTAGTAATATGATAATTATTGATAGAGCTGTATGTGAACTGATTAACTAAATGTGTGGAGAAGTATTGTTGGAATATGGGTGAACGTGGAATGGATTTTGAGGGGAATGTGTGTCAACATCACAGATGATTGTGTTTATATTAATCAGCTTGTGGTACTTACAATAGATGTAATATGGTTTTGTTAAAGTGGGTTATTAAACTTTGAGGGTTTGATGTTAGATTATATCCGGTAATACTATGGGAACAGAGTTGTAAATAGATTCCGTGTTATGGACAGAGAGCTGGGGAGTTAATTGATAAACAATGGGGAGGTGTAGAGTAGCTTGGGTATTGGAGGTCAGTATAAATAGTGGGAGAGGGCAGTAATTTGTACGGTCAGCCAGAAGCACAATCGTGTTCACTTGGGTTTATACCCGGACTGTCGACAACAACAAATAATCCGTCCAAATTACTTGTCGATAGTCCGGGGAAAGGGAAATGATGTTCTACATGAGTGACTTCACGCCCAGTGTTCTCGAAATTAACAAACCAATTGAAAACAGAGTGCGATATATATAGAAGACAATATATTTATTTACTCAATATAACAACATGTATGTATAAGTCACACAATATAACATATCTGTATATATATTTCATAAATCTCACACAATATGTGTGTGTGTGTGTGTGTGGTTATAGAAATGAGTGATTTGCTGCAGGTGTATAAGCAATAAATATATAAAAGATGAGTCTTTTATATCTGCACTAAACTTATCTGTAATGTTCAGCCAAGATGAAGCAACTCTGACACATGACACATATTTTGTAAGCTCTCTGTTTCTTTCCGGTATTTTTTATGTTAAACTCCAAAATGGTAATCCTTCCACTCTCATAACGTAAAATAATGGTCTGTTTTCAACCTTAATTCTCTTACAAATTGTTAAAATGACATTCTCTATAATTAACCTAATTCATTTACTCATGAAACGAGCATAGCCACCATAGCCACTTGCAAACCACTAAGCAAACATTCTCTTTAATTAATTAACACCGTCACAGTATGTTTGCCACGCGATGTCGGCGCTCCGAGGTTTTTTTTTCTGTCGACGGTTAGCAACTTCCATACAGAAGTGCATATGGTAAGATCAGATGCGGCACCGCACCAATTAATATTGAGCTGGGTAGATATATAGAGAATACTACACGAGGTCTCATTACATACGAATTATACGAAACGAGTGTCCTTTCTGTGGTATCTGACCGAGCGAAAGCGAGGTCAGATAACATAGGAAGGTCACGAGTTACCTATATTGTATTGAAGTGTCCCGGAACTGGCCGGTTATCCTTAAAGTAAGGAGAGGTGAAATATCTCCGCCCGTAAGGAGACAAAGAGTCTCCGCTGCCCAGTAAGGAGAGGATTATCTCCGAGTAGACGTGAGATGTAGATGGCACAGCCATCATCAACTACACAGACACCTTCTACTCCGTGAGGGAAACCATCGCCTAGGTGTGAGAGGTACCACACCAATACACAGGCACCTTCTACTCCGTGAGGGACACCATCGCCTAGGTGTGAGAGGTACCACACCAATACACAGGCACCTTCTACTCCGTGAGGGACACCATCGCCTAGGTGTGAGAGGTACCACACCAATACACAGGCACCTTCTACTCCGTGAGGGACACCATCGCCTAGGTGTGAGAGGTACCACACCAATATACAGGCACCTTCTACTCCGTGAGGGACACCATCGCCTAGGTGTGAGAGGTACCACATCAATACACAGGCACCTTCTACTCCGTGAGGGACACCATCGCCTAGGTGTGAGAGGTACCACACCAATACACAGGCACCTTCTACTCCGTGAGGGAAACCATCGCCTAGGTGTGAGAGGTACCACATCAATACACAGGCACCTTCTACTCCGTGAGGGACACCATCGCCTAGGTGTGAGAGGTACCACACCAATACACAGGCACCTTCTACTCCGTGAGGGACACCATCGCCTAGGTGTGAGAGGTACCACATCAATACACAGGCACCTTCTACTCCGTGAGGGACACCATCGCCTAGGTGTGAGAGGTACCACACCAATACACAGGCACCTTCTACTCCGTGAGGGACACCATCGCCTAGGTGTGAGAGGTACCACACCAATACACAGGCACCTTCTACTCCGTGAGGGAAACCATCGCCTAGGTGTGAGAGGTACCACACATCAATACACAGGCACCTTCAACTCCGTGAGGGACACCATCGCCTAGGTGTGAGAGGTACCACATCAATACACAGGCACCTTCTACTCCGTGAGGGAAACCATCGCCTAGGTGTGAGAGGTACCACACCAATACACAGGCACCTTCTACTCCGTGAGGGACACCATCGCCTAGGTGTGAGAGGTACCACACCAATACACAGGCAACTTTTACTCCGTGAGGGAAACCATCGCCTAGGTGTGAGAGGTACCACACCAAAACACAGGCACCTTCTACTCCGTGAAGGAAGTCATCGCCTAGGTGTGAGAGGTACCACACCAAAACACAGGCACCTTCTACTCCGTGAAGGAAGTCATCGCCTAGGTGTGAGAGGTACCACAGCAATACACAGGCACCTTCTACTCCGTGAGGGAAGTCATCGCCTAGGTGTGAGAGGTACCACACCAATACACAGGCACCTTCTACTCCGTGAAGGAAGTCATCGCCTAGGTGTGAGAGGTACCACACCAATACACAGGCAACTTATATTCCGTGAGGGAAACCATCGCCTAGGTGTGAGAGGTACCACACCAATACACAGGCACTTTCTACTCCGTGAAGGAAACCATCGCCTAGGTGTGAGAGGTACCACACCAATACACAGGCACCTTCTACTCCGTGAAGGAAGTCATCGCCTAGGTGTGAGAGGTACCACACCAAAACACAGACACCTTCTACTCCGTGAAGGAAGTCATCGCCTAGGTGTGAGAGGTACCACACCAAAACACAGACACCTTCTACTCCGTGAAGGAAGTCATCGCCTAGGTGTGAGAGGTACCACACCAAAACACAGGCACCTTCTACTCCGTGAAGGAAGTCATCGCCTAGGTGTGAGAGGTACCACACCAATACACAGGCACCTTCTACTCCGTGAAGGAAACCATCGCCTAGGTGTGAGAGGTACCACACCAATACACAGGCACCTTCTCCTCCGTGAAGGAAGTCATCGCCTAGGTGTGAGAGGTACCACACCAATACACAGGCACCTTCTACTCCGTGAGGGAAGTCATCGCCTAGGTGTGAGAGGTACCACACCA